GCTCGCTGGACAGACAAAGAGAGAGACAAAAAGCGAGAAATCATTCCCAAGGAGGGATGGCCATGCTGCAATCCCTTCTCCTCCATTCTCCTCTCAGGATCTTGAGTATGAACACACACACCCAGTGTGAGTTTTAAGCTGCTGGGTCCAGGCTTTGAACCACAGTCAACTACATGGGAGTCCAGCAACATCACCATTTTGCCGTCTGCTGATTCCAAATCGAAAAATATAAGGGTAAATCAATCAGCTGCTACAGAGTGGTTCTGATGTGCCAAATTCCTTTTCCCCTTAAGCCGTAAAGAATTACATTCATGTATTACTCTGAAGAATCTAATGCTGTCTAAGCTAGAAATATAAAGACCATTGAACAAATTTACATTACTGAAATGGGTGAACTTCAATTTAGAGACAGATACTTAGGTAGGACATTTTTCAATGTACTGGGTCATTAGAAAAATCAGGACACATTTTTGCATAAAAGAAAAAAAGAACACACACAGAAAAAACATCATGCCTTTCCTGATGGCCCAGTAATTCCCTCTAGAACAATACTGTTATGGATCTCGTAGGACAAACTCTCTTGTACTGATGTTCACGGAAGATGATAACCTGAGCTTTCCTAAAGGCAGGCAAGGTCTTCATGCTTAGATGTCCTCGACTATTTGCCAATGCGGTTTTTAACTCTGTGCATGTGTGAGGCTGATTTCCTTTTAAAATGAAAAGGCAGGTGGGAATGAAGGAGAAAAACCTCTTATCAAGATCAGTTTCTTGCATTTTATTTCCGACGTTTGGGGCTATTTGATTTTGAAGTGAGAGCAAACTGAAGTTCACATTTACTGAGTATTTGTTATGTACAGAGTCTTATTTTGAAGGTCCTATTTGATAGACGTTCAGTCAAAAAGTTGTGTGGAATATGTTGCACTGCCTCTCTCGGGAGAGCTTCAGCAGGGAGTAGCATCCGAGGCAGAGAAAGCTCCCAGGCTGAGGAATTCAGGCTACTGAAACAAGCGTGAAACTAGTAAACATACTGTCCCCGTCCCCAAGGAGATGTTCCGGGCTCCTGGGTTCCTGCCCAGTACCGAGACAATTTCCTGCCGATCATCCACACCCCTGCCCTTCCTCTATCACCTGCCTTGGACTCAGGTTATAAAAAGTGGTTTCTTTCAAGCAGTACCTGGGGGCGGGTGGGAGGTACATAGGAACCACCTGGCGGGCAGAAATCTTAGATTCAAATTCTGCCTCTGACTCAAAATTTGAACCTTTTCACAAAGTGTTCAACTTTTTAAAAACTGTATTCACGAGAGCACATGCATGCACATGTGACCGGCACAAAGAAAGGAGCCCTCAATGGGCTTTCATCATGGCGACACCAGGACTGCCTTTCCCATAGCCCTCCAGCTCGTCCGGATCTGGGTGTGTACTCGCCTGACGTATCTGCAGGCTGGCTGGTGATCCGAATCCGCAGCTGGCCACGTGGCTTCCACCACTGCAGTTCAGTGCGCAGTTAACTGCCACTAAGGCTGGACCCACTTTTTATTTTTTTGAGAGACTTTTGCTATAGGGTCCGTAAGCTCGTTAGAGAGACAGAAAGAGAGACAGAGACAGAAAGTGAGAAATCACCCCCCAGGGGGGATGGTCACACCGCAATCCTTTCTCCTCCATTCTCCTCTCAGGATTTTGGGCATGCATGCACATGGCGTGAGTTTTAAGCCACCGGGTCTGGAATGCGAACCACAGTCGACTACATGGGAGTCCAGTGACATAACCATTATGCTATCTACTGTCCCCAGGGCCCACATTTTTGACTGTAGGTCTGCACACACCTAAAATGGGGACTGCCAGTCTCCCCATCAGGAGCACCACAGGAGAGGGCTGGGCTAATAATGGCTGTGAACCATTTCTACCAGACACTCACTAAATGTTTAATGAATCTCCAGGTTACCTGAGCTCTATCCTACAGGGGACCCAGAAGACTCCTAGCAAGGCCAGTGCAGGGAACAGCCCTTTCTTAGGAACAGCAGTGCCCAGCGTAAATAACCCAGCACGACTGAGGCCCAGGGACACCCAAAATGCTTTAGTGTCAGGGCACAGACACAAACTCTCTTACTTGGCCCCACGTAGACAACACTTCTTCAGCCTTCAGACTCCCTAGTGGTGTGTACCTTGAGATCCTCAAATCAAACACAATGACAGGAAGTTCTGTGAGCTCCCCTGAAGACCCCGAGTGCGCATAGCAAGCTCCCAGCACACACGCTCTGCGCGCCCTTTGCAGGTGGGGTCTCATTTACTCAGCACCGCCACTGGCATTCTGACTGTCCCCATGCTGCTGAGGAGGGACCGAGACGTGGGGATCGCCACCAGGACTAGAGCCATCCTCAGCCACCCCACTGTACTGTGTCCCCGCAGGAAGCACAGTGACGGTCCCTTAGCTCCAAACATATTCTGGAGTTTTGAACCTGAGAGTCTCTACCTACTCTCATCAGAACAATATTAAATCTAAATGTTTTTCTGTTAGAAAAATCAAGATTTTTTTTTTAAAGAATTATTTTATTTAACTTTGTTTATTTATTTTATTTTGACCGGGGGTGGGGGGGGAGGTAAAATAAGAAAGCAAACTTCCAGGTCCAGAACTTGAACCGTGGTCGGCCATGTGGGAGTCCAGCACCCTTGAGCACCACACCACCTGCTGGCCCCAAGTCATGACGTATTTTTCTATGCAAAAATGTATCATGACTTTGCCAACACCCCAATAAAACCTGAAAAGACATAGTGCAGGCCTATGAATCTTTAATTGTGATAGATAGATGACCCTTCTCACAGTTATTAAGGTCAAAGAATACCTGCAAAAAAGAAAAAGCACAGAATTTTCTAATATCAAAACTTTCCACAGCTTCCTCTTGTCCAAAGGAAAATTAAAAATAAATCTGCATTCTAGACGTGTTCTGAATCTACAGTTTGGACAGATAACTTGGCAGCTGTGTGTCAGGCGTACCCTATGGCTCCACCAGTGCCAGCTCCAGGATCTCTCTTACAGAAATGATGCGAGTATACCAGAGACCTGTGCAAACATGCTCGTCAGTGCATGATCTGCTAAGAACACAAACTAAACACGACCTGAGGAGCCATCCAGTTACCTAAATATATTCCGGCACGGTCATGAACAGGATCCCACACAGCCAGGTAAAGAATGAGGTAGCTCTAGCTACAGTGACACTTAAAGACATCCTGACATACTACTAAGCAAAAAAGCGAGTGACAGAAGGTGTGCAGTATGATCCTATTTTTATTAAAAATAAACTGTCTTTGTGTGATGATATACATGTTGTAGAGAAACAGACAAGGGCCTTAAGAATACATGAACATCCCTTGGGAGGTAGCAACTGGGGGTGGAGGGAGTGTCTCATATTCTATGTTGCAGATGTGCATATTTGCTAAAAGTTAGTAACTGTTTCACAGATAACAATATAAAATTTTGAAATAGAAAGGATTTGGGGCCCAGCCATGGTGGCACACAAGTAGCACAATCACTTGGGAGGCTGGAAGCCACATGGGAGGCCCAGGTTCGGTTTCTGGGCCAACCTGAACATGCTGGGGTGGCTGCATGCACCTGTAATCCTCATTAATTGAGAGGGTGGAGCAAGATGGCAACACAGGAGGCCCTATTAAAAATATCTATCTCTGT